AAGTCTTTCAATTTACTAAAACTTTAGTTTAAAGCGAAAAGACGTATCTGCAAAAATAAAAATTCATCAATAAGATGACATGATAAAAAAATTAGAATCATTTTGAACTAATACAACACATTCCTATTTTGGAATATATTCCAATTTCTGTTAAAGATGAAACAGTTATGTCAACATGAATGTCATTCAATGAATCATACATATTGTTTACATTAAAAGGATTTTTTCGGATATGTTTAATAGTATACTTGCAATCGCAAGGTACACAAACTGGTTGAATTTGATTGTTTAAAAGATACTCGTATTCTAGCATGACCAATACGGCATCTACAAATAATACACTGATCTTTCCTGCATATAAATTTATTAAATGTTTGCATATATTTGGTTAAATTTAATACAATTTATTCTCATTAATGTTTTCTGCATGGGGTATTTTTTCATATATTTAGCACACATATATTCTAAAACCAGTTGTTGGCACCATACAGGTTTTGTTCTTCTGGTATATTTAATTATGGTATTAAACATAACCCCTAACGAGAGGGATTGTGCTTGATTTTCAAATGATGAAAACACAATCTTTCAATTGAGGTCTGGAGCTGACAAGCCAGTAAATGCTAGTAGTCCTTTTGTTAATTTATGTATCATTGTCATTATGCTTACTTTCTTCTGTTACCTATTCTGACATCGGACTTGGACTTCTTTTTAACCAAGCTTTACTGTGCGTATTCCTGAGTGTTTGTTTTATTCTACATTGGCTAGAGGTATACGGGGAGGGTTTAATCCAATCGCATTTTTGCGCCTGTCCAAAGTCTGGAGCGCCTAGCCTTTGTTAGTCTTGTATTTTTTTTCTTAATTTTGGTTCATTTATATGTTTTGGGGTTTAGTGTGACGTCCGTTTTCGCTGAACTAGTACATATTTTTGTTTAGGGGCCAGCTGAAGCCCGCCTACGGGTGCGGGATTTTTTCACTGTGTTGAAGACCTATTAGTGGCTTTTGGTTGTTTTCTACTCTTTGGTCGGGTTGTTGTCGCTTTGACATTCTCCGTTTCCATTCTCAATTTTATCTCTTATACTAAATTTTAAATTAGTATATGGTATTTTACATTTATATATTGGGTCATTCAAGGCATTGAAATAAGAGTACTCGCAGTTACTGAAAACTAGTTCAAAGCCAATTACAACTAACAAATAAATCATATTCTCCAAGATTAAAATATCTACCAGTACACATACGATTGATTTAGTGTAATGACGTAATACACAGTCTTGGAAACGCATGGCCTTGTGCACTGCCAAAATATAAGTAAACATAATCGATAGGATGTAGGATAATGAGTTCTCATAACTGTACCTTTTAAAGCAACATATATCTAGTTACGTTTCAATGTTTCAAATACAAAATCAGTGTAAGTACCAATAAAAACAATATGTAAAGTTTTTTACTACTGTGTTAAATTGATAACCATTAAGAATCAGTTTGTTCAAAGATTCAATTATTTTACATGTATAGTATCTAAATAACGGGTTTTATAAACATGTGAAAGAATAAGACATCACGTTTTTGATAAGAACTCTACAGGAACAGTCAAATTTCCTAACCAAATCTTTGTATCTAGGAAAGAATTTGGTAACGGTTTTAATTAATTTGTGGTAACTAACTCTCTGACTTAATGATTTATCAGTTATACACAAGTTACATTCATTAAAAACTTATTATGCGCGACTTAAATCTTCATTCTAACCAACTAAATGATCAGAAACAATGATCAAATATGCAATGATTAGATAGTTTTCACATGTCCCTTGGTGCTGAAAATACATCGAAATAGTCTTTACGACATTCTGTATGTGCCTGTCCAAAATAAGGAACCTGTAATTCAGTGGTTGTCATATTTGTTTTTCGTTCTTTATTTTATACATAAATTAGACCATTAGTTTTCTCGTATGAAATGTTTTACATTTGTCATTTCGGGGCCTTTATAGCTGACTATGCGGTATGGGCCTTGCTCATTGTTGAAGGCCCACGGTGACCTATATTTGTTAATTTCTGTCTCATTTGGTCTATTGTGGAGTGTTGTATCATTGGGAATTATATCACATCTTCTTTTTATATTTGGATCCATCTATACCCGGTTTGTTAATGTACTTACCAAACATGAGATCCCATTGAACCTGGTTAATTTCACATCATTTTTTTATTGGTAGAAAACATAAGATCCATCTGTACCCGGATTGTTACACGTACATACCAACGGTAGGAAACATTAGATCCCACTGTACCTGTTCAATGTCAACCCTTACTACAAGTAAGAAACATTAGATCCATCTGTACCCGGTTTGTTACACGTACTTACCAAACATGAGATCCCACTGTACCTCGTTAATTTCACATCCTTACTACGAGTAGGAAACATTTACCCCATCTGTATCCGGTTTGTTACAGTTCTACCCAACGGTAAATAAGTGAGGTCCACTGTACACGGTTTATAACATACGTACTTCCCACTGGTAGGAAACATTGGATCCCATTGTACCTGGTTTATATCACAGAGGTACTTCTTTTATCCAATATTGGCTGCATTCTTACACATACTTACCACTGCTTTAAACTTTACAATTTCATTGTGAGTGGTTATTTACACATACATACCCCTGTTGTGACACATGAGATCCTACTGTATCGTGTTTATTACACATAGTTACTACTGCTAGTAAATATAAGATCAAATTGTGAATGCTTTCTTACACTTATTTGCCAAGTAGTAGGACACACGAGATCTCACTGTACTTTGTTTATTACACATACACATGCTAGGTAATGTATAACTGGTTGGAAACATGATATACCATAGAAACTGGTATTTATATTCTTCCCACAGGTAGGAAACATGAGACCCCATTATGACATGTATATTTCACATGCAAACGATTACTAGGAAACAGAAGATCCTGTTGAACTGGTCTTGTTACACATACGTATCACTGATAGAAAACATAAGATCCTGTTGTGAATTCTTCCTTAAACATATTAACCATTGGTAGAAACATGAGATCCCATTGCATGGTTAATTACACATACTAAATTGGCTATAAAAATCAGATTCAACTCTGGCTACGATCCACTGCTAGGAAACATGAGATCCCATTGTAACTGCTTTATAACACGTTTTAAACAACGGTAGAAAACATGAGATCACACTGTACCTGGTTTATTACATATTGTTCACACTGGGAGGAAACAGGAGATCCGAATGTATCTGGTTTATTACACACAATTACCACTGTTAGAACACTTACCACATGTAGAAAAACAGGAAATCCCAATGTATCTGGTGTTTTTCATTTGCAAACAATTGATAGGAAACAAAAGATTCCGTTGTGCTTGCTTTATTACAAATACTTACCACTGCCAGGAAACATAAGATTCATTGTGCGTGGTTTCTTACGCATACTTACCTCTGAAAGAACACATCAGATCTGATTATGCCTGCTTTCAACACAATTTACCAGCGGTAGGACACATGATATTCCACTGTATTTTATAAAACTGTGGTTTATTAGACATACTTACCACTGCAAAGAAACATAAGATTCCACTGTATATGGTTTATTACACATACTTACCATTGGTGGGAAACCTGAGCTCCGATTGTATCTTGTTTATTACATATAGTTGCCAATGCAAAGAACATGAGATCCGATTGTGTCTGCTTTCTTATACATATTTACCAGTGCTAGGAAATATGAGATCCAATTATATATGGTTTGTTACACATACCAGTGCCAGGTTTATTACTTATTTATGATAGGAAAAATGTTTTTTTTTAAACATACGTACCTATGCTAGAAAACATGAGATCCCATTTTGCTTCCTATATTACAAATACTTACCACTGTAGGAAACATGATATCCCACTGTACCTGCTCTATTACACATATTTAACACTTCAAGGAAACACGAAATTTATGGTTTCTTACATCATATACACATACACATACATAAAAGGAAACGTCAATTTCTACTCTACCTTTTTTTTTTAAATATAATTACTACTGATAGTAAACAGTGGATCCTATTGTACCTTATTTGTTACACGAAATATCACCACTGGTAAGAAACATGAGACCCTATTGTGGCTGGTATATTTTACATATTAGCCACTCATAGGAAAGATGAGATCGCATTGTGCCTGGTCTATAACACTATTGTAGCACTGTAGTAAACATGATATTCCATATTGCTTCTGGTTTATAATAAATACAAACCACTGCTAGGACACACTATTTCTGGTTTATTACACTAACTTATCATTGATTTGAGTATATGTTGATCTTACTGTTCCTAGCTAATTAAATATTTTGGCCAGTGGCAGGAAACATTAAATCTTACTCTGCCTTGTTTCTTAAACAAACTTACAACTGCTGATAAACATAAGATCCGATTGTGCCAGCTGTTATGATATTGTAACTATCATATTTATTTAGTTGGCCTAATTTGTTTTGTGTGGCCTAAGAATGTTTACATTATATTTTTCTATATTGTGTACAAAATAATACACATTGTGTTACAACTATGCAGTTTAGAATTCACTGGAACAATCATTGATACTCATGGAATGACTAGAACTTTCTATTTCACTTACATAACGTTTCCAGAATGATCATAACAAAAGATGCGTAATTTAAACATCTACAGTTATCTAGAACTTTCCTTTACGAGTATTTAAATGCAGACCCGAAAGTGAGACACAGATATAGAAATAGACTTAGACATCGAGAGACATCAACATTCTCAGCAGTTGGATTGACACTTTTATTCACTAACAACATCATACTAAATTGTGACCTATTGGACGTAATATTCTGTGGATTTCCGTGAAGATTTCCGGATAAAGAAAAGATAAAAGATTGGACTCATATTTTGACTGTTAAGTTTACATTTCTATTTGTGCAATACTTCTTGTAAACTAGTGTACAATAAATCTTGTTAATTTTATTATTGATTTGTGTCTTTTGTTGGCTACAATTAAAAGGCGATTTTCTGGCGTAACAGAAATTGGAGGCTCGTCCTGGATAACGTAAATATCCTATTGAAAATATTTCAGTATTTTTATTAGAACTAGCTAACAAAATTCTACGAAATGGCATTTGATGCCAGTAAATTTTTGAAAACGCCAGACCTGGAGGGGTTTGATAATTTTAAAAAAGACGAATTAGTGTTGCTTGCTAAGCATCTGAAATTAGACTTAAGAGTATCTATGAGAAAACAAATTATAAAAAAATTGATAATAGATTATTTAGTTGACTCAAAAATATTTGGTGAAAAGGCTCTTGAACTCAAGGTCGAAAATGTTGACGCTATCAAATTAAAACAGCTTGAATTAGAAAATGAACTCAAAATAAAACAGTTGGAAAAAGAAGAAAGACAGGTAGAACTCGAAATGAAGGAAAGATTAGAGATGGAGAAAAAAGAAAAAGAAGAAAGGTTAGAGATTGAGAAAAAAGAAAAAGAAGAAAGGTTAGAGATGGAGAAAAAAAAAGAAGAAAGGTTAGAAATGGAGAAAAAAGAAAAAGAAGATGAATTTAAATTAAAACAAGATGAATTGAAATTAAAACAGGCAGAACTTGAAATGAGGGAAAGGTTAGAGATTGAGAAAATGAAAATTGGAATGGCAAAAGAAGAAAACAACACTAAATTCTAATCAAAATCAAAACATTTTAATTTTGATGCAGCATAAAATATACGTTTGGTTCCCAAATTTTGTTAAAAAACTGTTGATAAATTTTTTTCCACAGTTTGAGAAAATTGCTCAAAATTTGAAATGGCCGAAGCCTTTTTGGACTACAATGCTGCAAAGTGTTTTTGAGGGCAAGGTCGCTGAAATTTACTCAGCACTTTCATCAGAAAATAGTTCTGACTATGACACGGTTAAAAAAGAAGTTTTGAAAGCTTATGAGCTAGTGCCAGACGCTTATAGACAGAAATTTAGGTCTTATAAAAAGTTTGATTCACAAACCTATGTTGAATTTGCTAGGGAAAAAGAAGATCTATTTGATAAATTGCTTACGTAAAAAAAATAGATAAACATTTTGATAATTTAAGACAATCGATGTTATTAGAAGAGTTCAGTAGTGTGTTCATTAAGACTTAAAAACACATTTAGATGACAAAACTGTTGAGACATTACAAGATGCAGCTGTTATTTCCGATAATTATACCCTTTCACATAAGAGAAGTTTCAAAGATCAAAATTTTAATACTTCGAGTGGAAATTACAAGAATCAAAGCACTGAGCGTACTAAGAGTAAGCCTGTTGCACAAAATAAGAGTCAGTCTAGTTATAATATGTCTAGTTCAAATTTTGATACTTTTGAGAAGAAGTCACTGACTTGTGCTTATTGTAAGAAGAATGGTCACCTGATGGCTGATTGTTTTAGACTCTAGAAGAAGAATGAAAGAGAAAATAAGCCCAAGACCAGTGCTTGTACGACACCCCGTGTTACCAATACGTTGGAATGTCCTGTGAGTCAGGCTTTTAAGTCCAGTTTTTTGGAGGATTATAAACCTTTTATGTCTGATGGGTTTGTTTCTATTGTTAATAATACTACTCCTCAGCCTATTAAGATTTTACGGGACACTGGAGCTTCTCAGTCTTTATTGTTAGAAGGTGTGTTGCCTTTGTCCGAGGAGACTTCTGTTGGTGCCTCCGTTTTGTTACAAGGTGTGGAGTTAGGTTGTATAGATGTTCCCCTCCATCGTATTTATCTGAAGTCAGATTTGATAACTGGACCAGTTGTTGTGGGTGTTCGTCCTAATCTCCCTGCTGAGGGTGTTTCATTATTGCTAGGAAATGATCTAGCTAGGAAAAAAGTGGTTGCTGAAACAATTGTTACCAGTAAACCGGTGGTGGATGTTAATTCACCTGAAGATGATGCTGAACTGTATCCAATTTGTGTCGTTACTAGGGCGATGGCTAGAAGACAACAAAATGAGGATTTGCAAGAAGACCAGTTTGATTACATAGACCTTTCTGACACCTTTGTAGCCGACATTGAAGGTCCCAGTAGCTCAGAGAAGGCCGTAATAAGACCACCTAGTATTAGCAAGAATGTAATTATGCCATGGCCAGACGTAAACAGCCATTCATTAGACAGAAGGAAATTTGTCGAAGAACAAAATAAAGACCCTAAGGTTCTTCAGCTCTGAAAGAGGGCTCAACCACAGGAGGAAGCAGACAAAGTCGCCGAAAGCTATCAAGACGGCATTTTAATGAGAAAGTGGAGGCCCCCTGATGCTACCCCAGAGGAGGAATGGAGAGTGGTATATCAAGTGGTTGTGCCTGAAGTCTATAGGCAAGACATTATTGGTCTTGCCCATGACAACCCCTTGGCTGGACACTTAGGTATAAGGAAGACTTGCCTTAAGATCTTACAGCATTTCTACTGGCCAAGACTAAAAAGTGATGTCGAAGAATACTGCAAATTATGCCATATATGCCAGGTTGTTGGTAAGCCTAACCAGAAAATACCACCAGCACCACTTCTGCCTATTCCAGCCTTTGAAGAACCTTTCAGCAGAGTACTAATTGATTGCGTTGGACCTTTACCGAAGACCAAGACCGGAAATGCGTATTTATTGACAATCATGTGTACCTCCACTCGTTTTCCTGAGGCTATTCGGTTAAGGAATATCAAGACACCTACTATTGTCAAAGCTCTGATCAATTTTTCACGCTAGTAGGACTTCCAAAGTCTATACACTCCGACCAGGGTTCAAATTTCATGTCAGGTTTATTTCAGCAAGTCGTGTAAAAGTTAGGGATTGCTCAGTATAGATCAAGTGCTTATCATTCAGAATCTCAAGGTGCCTTAGAACGTTTTCATCAAACATTGAAGAACATGATTAGAACTTTTTGTCTTCAATTTGACAGATACTGGGATAATGTTGTTCACTTTTTACTTTTTGCGGTCCGAGAGGCTGCTCAAGAATCCCTTGGTTTTAGTCCCTTTGAGTTGGTATTTGGTCACACTGTAAGGGGACCTTTAAAATTGATTAAGGAAAAATGGCTTACTGAACACACTGACTTGAATCTTCTAGACTATGTATCTAGATTTAAAGAAAAATTGTATACTGCTTGTCAAATTGCTCAGAACAATTTAAAAACTGTTCAGAATAAGATGAAAATATGGTATGATAAAGATGCCAGGGACAGATTTTTTGAGCCTGGTGATAAGGTACTTGTATTTTTGCAAGTCCCTGGACATCCATTACAAGCTAAATTTTGTGGTCCTTATACCATAGAGAGTAAAATCAATGATTTGAATTATTTTGTAAAAACACCAGGTCGGCGTAAACAAAATAGAGTGTGTCACACTAATATGTTAAAACCATATTTTGAGCGTACTAATGAAGGTGGGAGTAAACAAGTTGCCACTTTAGCCATGGTTAAATTGGAGAACAATCATGACAAACCAGATATAATTGAACCACCTTTTAGTTCTAAAACTATGGAAGAGACAGTAAGATTGAAAAATTCAGAAATTTTTGTCAAATTTAGATTCAAAACTTGCACTCTGTCTTTTGATCGTAGAGAAAAATTAAAAGCTTTGGTATTTTCTTTTAAAAATCTTTTTCCAGATGTGCCAAACAAAACCACTGCTGTTTGTCATGATGTCGATGTTGGTGATGCTTCTCCTATTAAGCAACATCCTTACCGGCTCAATCCACTCAAACTTGAATTTATGAGACAAGAAATTAAATATATGCTTGACAATGATTTTATTGAGGCGAGTAACAGTGAATGGAGCTCTCCTTGTCTGCTTGTGCCCAAACCAGATAAAACCTTTCGTTTCGTAACTGATTTTAGAAAAGTATATTCTGTTTCAAAATCTGATTCCTATCCGATTCCAAGGATAGACGACTGCATTGATAACATTGGACAAGCAAAATTTGTGAGCAAATTTGATTTATTGAAAGGTTACTGGAAGGGTCCCATTGACACAGAGAGCTCGAGAAATATCAGCTTTTGTCACACCAGACGGCTTATTTCAATATACTGTAATGCCGTTTGGCATGAAAAGTGCTCCAGCTACATTTCAAAGAATGATCAATAATGTTATAAAAAATTTAGACTGTTGTTATGCTTATATTGATGATCTTATTGTGTGTAGTGATAGCTTGGAAGAACATTTAACACATTTATATGATACTTTTGATAGATTGTCACCATCAAATTTGACTGTTAATCTTGATAAAAGTGAATTTTGCCAGGCCACTGTTGATTATTTAGGGCATACAGTTGGCCAAGATCAAGAGAAACCTCTTACGGCTAAAGTGGATGCAATTACCAAATTTCATCCTCCTACAAATAAAAAACATCTTATGAGATATTTAGGAATGATCGGATTTTACAGGAAATTCTGTTCAAATTTTGCTACTGTTGTTCAACCATTGACTCATCTTTTACGGAAAGATTCTAAATTCATCTGGAGTGAAAATTGTCAAAACGCTTTTGAAAATAGCAAATCACTTTTAATAAATAGTCCAGTTCTGATCACCCCAGACTTTGAAAAACAATTTAAACTTGCCGTTGAAGCAAGCGATGTAGGAGTTGGAGCTGTTTTATATCAAGAGACAGATGATAATGTAATGAAACCTATATCATATTTTTCTAAGAAATAAGATAAACATCAGAAAATTATTCGACTATTGAAAAAGAGTGTTTTGCACTGTTGTCTGCACTTCAACATTTTGATGTATATTTAAATCCCACTGTGCATCCTATTCTTGTTTACACTGATCATAATCCTCTCACCTTCATACATAAAATGAGAAACAAGAACCAGAGATTGACTAGGTGGAGTTTATTGTTATAGGAATATGATGTTATTGTAAAACATATTAAAGGTAAAGATAATGTAATAGCAGATGCTTTATCTAGAAATTATTAAAACACTGTGTATATACTATGTATTTTTGTACATATTATTCATGAAAAGTTTTTGTTACACTAAAACTTTTTTTAAGGGGGGAGGTGTTATGATATTGTAACTATCATATTTATTTAGTTGGCCTAATTTGTTTTGTGTGGCCTAAGAATGTTTACATTATATTTTTCTATATTGTGTACAAAATAATACACATTGTGTTACAATTATGCAGTTTAGAATTCACTGGAACAATCATTGATACTCATGGAATGATTAGAACTTTCTATTTCACTTATATAACGTTTCCAGAATGATCATAACAAAAGATGCGTAATTTAAACATCTACAGTTATCTAGAACTTTCCTTTACGAGTATTTAAATGCAGACCCTAAAGTTAGACACATATATAGAAATAGATTTAGACATCGAGAGACATCAACATTCTCAGCAGTTGGATTGACACTTTTATTCATTAACAACATCATAATAAATTGTGACCTATTGGACGTAATATTCTGTGGATTTACGTGAAGATTTCCGGATAAAGCAAAGATAAAAGATTGGACTCATATTTTGACAGTTAAGTTTACATTTCTATTTGTGTAATACTTCTTGTAAACTAGTGTACAATAAATCTTGTTAATTTTATTATTGATTTGTGTCTTTTGTTGGCTACAATTAACAGGCGATTTTCTGGCGTAACACAGCTGTATTACAATTACCTACCACTGCTAGGAAGCCAAAGATCTCGTTGTACCTGGTTTATTTTTCGTACCATTGCTAGGACAAACTAGAGTGCCCACTTTACTGAGTTTATAACAAATTTCCCACTGCTAGAAAATTAGAGATCCGACTGTGC